CCCCCCTGACTTGTGTGGTTGCAGAAAGTGCAGTCAGAGTTGGAGGGTCTGAAGAGAGACCTCACCTGTGTCAGTGAGAAGACGGAGGAGGTCCTGATGTCCCCCCAACAGTCCAGCTCTGCCCCACTGCTGCGCTCAGAACTGGACCTGACTCTGAAGAAGATGGAGCAGGTCTACGGCCTCTCCTCCGTCTACCTGGACAAGTGAGAGACCATGAGTTCATTCATCTGATCACACATCTGTTCTGTTCTGTTCTGTTCTGTGAGTCTCACCCAATAAAAACCTTGGACTTCCAGGCTGAAGACCGTGGACGTGGTCATCAGGAACACGGCGGACGCAGAGGAGACGCTGAAGAACTACGAGGCTCGGCTGCGTGACGTCAGCAAAGTTCCATCTGAGCAGAAGGAGGTGGAGAAACACCGCAGTCAGATGAAGGTACTGCTACAAGACTTCATGATATTAGGTCTAACTTTAACAAAAATCTGCAAAATGAACAAATACTTGGATGTTGAAGAAATAAACAATAAAAGATTAATAACCTGAATCAAGAGTTGTTCTTACTGGGAATATATTTAGACCACCTGGGGGCAGTGTTATTAATCACCCAATTACAATTACGTGCAATTAATCACGTAATTGTACAAGTTATAAGAATTCACAAAATAAACATTTTAGCAACGTAGCATGTTGCAGTCTAGGAGAATATTACAGTAATACCTCTAATAAATACCCAGTAAATAGTAGTTATAATTTCACAGTAAACATGGCAGTATTTTTGGTATACATTTAACATGTATTTTTAGCTTTTCATTTGATAACTTTAATCTATTTTTTAGAATTTAGACTGGTCAAAATAAAGTTTACAGACATGTGACTCATTACTTACGTCCACCAGTCGATGCGCTCTGAGGCGGAGGCGGATCAGGTGATGTTCGACCGCCTGCAGGATGACCTCAGGAAGGCCACCACCGTCCACGACAAGATGACCAGGATCCACAGCGAGCGTGACGCCGACCTGGAGCACTACCGTCAGCTGGTCAACGGCCTCCTGGAGCGCTGGCAGGCCGTGTTTGCTCAAATAGAGCTCAGACTGCGGGAGCTGGACCTCCTGGGCCGACACATGAACTCGTACCGCGACTCCTACGAGTGGCTGATCCGCTGGCTGACGGAGGCCCGGCAGAGGCAGGAGAAGATCCAGGCCGTGCCCATCAGTGACAGCAGGGCCCTGAGGGAACAGTTGACAGACGAGAAGGTGAGAGTGATGGGAGGATGGTGCAACTCTGCTGCCATCTGGTGGTCAAGTCTAACCTATGCAACTGGTCTAATGTTTTTACAGAAACTTTTAGGAGAGATTGAGAAGAACAAGGACAAGATCGACGACTGTCACAAAAATGCCAAAGCTTACATTGATTCAGTCAAGGTTTGAAATAAATAAATACATTACTGACTTTACTACAAGTACTGCTGTCTGATCTTTTTTCTAAAAAAAAAAACAAATAAATAAATAATTACCTTTTTTTATGAAGGACTACGAGTTCCAGATTCTGACGTACAAAGCTCTTCAGGATCCAATAGCATCTCCTCTGAAGAAGCCAAAAATGGAGTGTGCATCTGATGACATCATCCAGGAGGTAGGTTCCACCAGTACCACTGACAGCTCTTCATAAAGAGGCTTTCCTCCTGTGAAAAGGATGGTTAGCAGAGTCAGTTACAGCGTGTCCTCCAGACTACCAGGACTTCAGACGTGTCCTCTGTGAAGGACATGAATCATGAATAAACACTACTTCTGTGTTACTACATTTCTTACAGTATGTCAATCTGAGAACCCGCTACAGTGAACTGATGACTCTCACCAACCAGTACATCAAATTCATCATAGATGCACAGCGCCGCCTGGAGGACGATGAGGTAACATCAACCAATGCAGCAGCAGCGCACAACATTTTAAACATCACTGTATCTGTTTGATGTGTAACTTTTATGTCTTGACACATGTTGGTGTTTTCCCAGATGTGTCCTTGTCTCATTTCCTCTACGTCTGCTTTGTTAATACAGAAAGCTTCTGAAAAACTAAAGGAAGAGGAGAGGAGGAAGATGGCAGAGATACAGGCGGAGTTGGACAAACAAAAGCAGATGGCAGAAGCTCACGCTAAATCTGTGGCTAAGGCAGAACAAGAGGCTCTGGAGCTGAAGATGAAGATGAAGGAAGAAGCCAGCAAGAGACAAGACGTCGCAGCGGACGCCGAGAAACAGAAGCAGAACATTCAACAAGAGCTGCAGCACCTGAAGAGCCTCTCTGACCAGGAGATCAAGTCCAAAAACCAGCAGCTGGAAGACGCGCTGGTGAGCCGCAGGAAGATAGAGGAAGAAATTCACATCATCAGGATTCAGCTGGAGAAAACGACGGCACATAAAGCAAAGTCCGAGGCAGAACTGCAGGAGCTCAGAGACAGAGCTGCTGAGGCCGAGAAGCTCAGGAAAGCTGCTCAGGACGAGGCAGAGAGGCTCCGCAAGCAGGTGGCTGAGGAAACTCAGAGGAAGAAGAACGCCGAAGATGAGCTAAAGCGCAAGTCCGATGCTGAGAAAGAGGCCGCTAAGCAAAAGCAGAGAGCACTGGACGACCTGCAGAAATACAAAATGCAAGCAGAGGAGGCAGAGAGACGCATGAAACAAGCAGAGGAGGAGAAAATCCGGCAGATTAGAGTGGTGGAGGAGGTGGCTCAGAAGTCCGCAGCCTCTGCTGCCATCTGGTGGTCAAGTCTAACCTATGCAACTGGTCTAATGTTTTTACAGAAACTTTTAGGAGAGATTGAGAAGAACAAGGACAAGATCGACGACTGTCACAAAAATGCCAAAGCTTACATTGATTCAGTCAAGGTTTGAAATAAATAAATACATTACTGACTTTACTACAAGTACTGCTGTCTGATCTTTTTTCTAAAAAAAAACAAATAAATAAATAATTACCTTTTTTTATGAAGGACTACGAGTTCCAGATTCTGACGTACAAAGCTCTTCAGGATCCAATAGCATCTCCTCTGAAGAAGCCAAAAATGGAGTGTGCATCTGATGACATCATCCAGGAGGTAGGTTCCACCAGTACCACTGACAGCTCTTCATTAAAGAGGCTTTCCTCCTGTGAAAAGATGGTTAGCAGAGTCAGTTAGAGCGTGTCCTCCAGACTACCAGGACTTCAGACGTGTCCTCTGTGAAGGACATGAATCATGAATAAACACTACTTCTGTGTTACTACATTTCTTACAGTATGTCAATCTGAGAACCCGCTACAGTGAACTGATGACTCTCACCAACCAGTACATCAAATTCATCATAGATGCACAGCGCCGCCTGGAGGACGATGAGGTAACATCAACCAATGCAGCAGCAGCGCACAACATTTTAAACATCACTGTATCTGTTTGATGTGTAACTTTTATGTCTTGACACATGTTGGTGTTTTCCCAGATGTGTCCTTGTCTCATTTCCTCTACGTCTGCTTTGTTAATACAGAAAGCTTCTGAAAAACTAAAGGAAGAGGAGAGGAGGAAGATGGCAGAGATACAGGCGGAGTTGGACAAACAAAAGCAGATGGCAGAAGCTCACGCTAAATCTGTGGCTAAGGCAGAACAAGAGGCTCTGGAGCTGAAGATGAAGATGAAGGAAGAAGCCAGCAAGAGACAAGACGTCGCAGCGGACGCCGAGAAACAGAAGCAGAACATTCAACAAGAGCTGCAGCACCTGAAGAGCCTCTCTGACCAGGAGATCAAGTCCAAAAACCAGCAGCTGGAAGACGCGCTGGTGAGCCGCAGGAAGATAGAGGAAGAAATTCACATCATCAGGATTCAGCTGGAGAAAACGACGGCACATAAAGCAAAGTCCGAGGCAGAACTGCAGGAGCTCAGAGACAGAGCTGCTGAGGCCGAGAAGCTCAGGAAAGCTGCTCAGGACGAGGCAGAGAGGCTCCGCAAGCAGGTGGCTGAGGAAACTCAGAGGAAGAAGAACGCCGAAGATGAGCTAAAGCGCAAGTCCGATGCTGAGAAAGAGGCCGCTAAGCAAAAGCAGAGAGCACTGGACGACCTGCAGAAATACAAAATGCAAGCAGAGGAGGCAGAGAGACGCATGAAACAAGCAGAGGAGGAGAAAATCCGGCAGATTAGAGTGGTGGAGGAGGTGGCTCAGAAGTCCGCAGCCACACAGCTGCAAACCAAAGCTATGTCATTCAGCGAACAGACAACAAAACTGGAGGAGTCGCTGAAGAAAGAACAAGGGAACGTCCTGAAGTTGCAAGAGGAGGCTGACAAACTGAAGAAGCAGCAGAAGGAAGCCAACACAGCCAGAGAGGAGGCGGAGCAGGAGCTTGAAATATGGAGGCAGAAAGCTAACGAGGCGCTCAGACTGAGGCTTCAGGCGGAGGAGGAAGCACAGAAGAAGAGCCACGCTCAGGAGGAGGCCGAGAAGCAGAAGCTGGAGGCAGAACGAGACGCCAAGAAAAGAGGGAAAGCTGAAGAAGCTGCTCTGAAACAGAAGGAGAACGCAGAGAAAGAGTTGGACAAACAGAGGAAGTTTGCAGAGCAGATTGCTCAGCAAAAACTCTCTGCTGAACAGGAGTGCATTCGCCTCAAAGCTGACTTTGAGCATGCAGAACAACAGCGTGGCCTTCTGGACAATGAGCTCCAGCGTCTGAAAAATGAGGTGAACTCCACTGAGAAGCAGAGGAAGCAGCTGGAGGACGAGTTGAATAAAGTGAGAAGTGAAATGGATTCTCTTCTGCAGATGAAGATTAACGCAGAAAAGGCTTCAATGGTGAACACCGAAAAGAGCAAGCAGCTCCTGGAGTCTGAAGCTCTGAAGATGAAACAGCTGGCTGACGAAGCTGCCAGAATGAGATCGGTTGCAGAAGAAGCGAAGAAGCAGAGGCAGATCGCCGAAGAAGAAGCGGCGCGACAAAGATCAGAGGCTGAGAAAATACTCAAAGAAAAACTGGCCGCCATCAACGAGGCAACGCGGCTGAAGACGGAGGCGGAGATGGCACTGAAGGCTAAAGAGGCGGAAAATGAGAGGCTGAAAAGACAAGCTGAGGAGGAGGCCTACCAGAGGAAGCTGCTGGAGGACCAGGCTGCTCAGCACAAACAGGACATTGAGGAAAAGATCACACAGCTGCAGACCTCCTCTGACTCTGAGCTTGGGAGACAGAAAAACATAGTGGAGGAGACTTTGAAGCAGAAGAAGGTGGTTGAGGAGGAAATTCACATCATCAAGATCAACTTCCACAAGGCGTCCAAAGAGAAGGCAGACTTGGAGTCAGAGTTGAAGAAACTGAAGGGAATCGCAGATGAAACACAGAAGAGCAAACTCAAAGCTGAGGAAGAGGCGGAGAAACTCAAAAAGCTGGCTGCAGAGGAGGAGAGGAGGAGGAAGGAGGCAGAGGAGAAGGTGAAACGGATCACCGCAGCAGAGGAGGAAGCAGCGAGACAGTGTAAAGCTGCTCAGGAGGAGGTTGAACGTCTGAAAAAGAAAGCAGAAGATGCCAACAAACAGAAAGAAAAGGCCGAGAAGGAGGCAGAGAAGCAGGTGGTTCTAGCCAAGGAGGCGGCGCAGAAGTGCACGGCTGCTGAACAGAAGGCTCAAGATGTCCTCAGCAAGAACAAAGAAGATGTCCTGGCTCAGGAAAAACTGAGGGACGAGTTTGAAAATGCCAAAAAACTCGCACAAGAAGCCGAGAAAGCCAAAGAGAAGGCAGAGAAAGAGGCCGCCCTGCTACGTCAGAAGGCAGAGGAGGCAGAGAAACAGAAAAAAGCAGCTGAGAACGAAGCCGCCAAACAGGCAAAGGCTCAGAACGACACAGAGAAACAGAGGAAAGAAGCAGAGGAGGAGGCCGCCAGGAGAGCAGCGGCTGAGGCCGCCGCTCTGAAGCAAAAGCAACAAGCTGACGCAGAAATGAGCAAGCACAAAAAAGAAGCAGAACAAGCCCTCCAACAGAAATCACAGGTGGAGAAGGAACTAACTGTTGTCAAACTGCAGCTGGACGAGACGGACAAGCAAAAAGTACTGCTGGACCAAGAGCTTCAGAGAGTCAAAGGTGAAGTGAATGACGCCTTCAAACAAAAGTCTCAGGTGGAGGTGGAGCTGGCCAGGGTAAGGATCCAAATGGAGGAGCTGGTGAAACTGAAGCTGAAGATTGAAGAGGAAAACCGCCGCCTCATGCAGAAGGACAAGGACAGCACACAGAAGCTGCTCGCAGAGGAAGCCGAGAAGATGAAGAGTTTGGCTGAAGAAGCTGGCAGATTGAGCGTGGAGGCCGAGGAAACGGCCAGACAGAGGCAGATCGCTGAGTCTAACTTGGCTGAACAGAGAGCGCTCGCAGAGAAAATACTCAAGGAGAAAATGCAGGCCATCCAGGAAGCCACCAAACTAAAGGCCGAAGCAGAGAAGCTTCAGAAGCAGAAGGACCAGGCACAGGAAACGGCCAAAAGACTACAGGAAGACAAGCAGCAAATCCAGCAACGTCTGGATAAGGAGACGGAGGGATTCCAAAAATCACTGGAGGCTGAGAGAAAGAGACAACTGGAGGCTTCAGCCGAGGCAGAGAAACTGAAGCTGAGGGTGAAGGAGCTCAGCCTCGCTCAGACCAAAGCTGAAGACGAGGCCAAGAAGTTCAAGAAACAGGCCGACGAGGTAAAGGCTCAGCTTCAGAGGACAGAAAAGCACACCACAGAAATTGTTGTGCAGAAGTTGGAGACGCAGAGGCTGCAGAGCACCAGAGAGGCCGACGACCTGAAGAGCGCCATTGCTGATCTAGAAGAGGAGAGAAAGAAGCTGAAGAAAGAGGCAGAGGAGCTCCAGAGGAAATCTAAAGAGGTATTTACATTAGAATTCCTCAAATTTATATTATTTCAGTTATTATTTAAGAAGTTTTTTTGTTAAAGATGTTTGGATCTACTATATTTGTGCTATAGATAAATCCAGAATGGCTGTTCGTTAGCATAGCATAAGATGTCAAAATGTAAAGTTTTACTAACAAATGATGTCTTTTCTTCCAATCAGATGGCAAATGCCCAACAAGAGCAAATTGAGCAACAAAAGGCGGAGCTCCAGCAGTCTTTCCTCACCGAAAAAGGACTACTGCTCAAAAGGGAAAAGGAAGTTGAGGGGGAGAAAAAGAGATTCGAGAAGCAGCTGGAGGATGAGATGAAAAAGGCAAAGGCCCTGAAAGACGAACAGGAACGTCAGCGGAAGTTGATGGAGGAGGAGAGGAAGAAGCTCCAGGCCATAATGGACGAAGCAGTGAGGAAACAAAAGGAGGCCGAGGAGGAGATGAAGAATAAGCAGAGAGAAATGGACGTGCTCGACAAGAAAAGACTGGAGCAGGAGAAACAGTTGGCAGAAGAAAACAAGAAGCTGAGAGAGCAACTGCAGACGTTTGAAATTTCATCAAAAACTGTATCACAGACAAAGGAAAGCCAAACTGTCTCAGTGGAGAAACTGGTGGCTGTGACAACAGTGGGGACATCAAAGGGGGTTCTCAATGGTTCTACTGAGGTAGATGGGGTGAAGAAAGAAGGGGACTCACCTTTGTCGTTTGAAGGAATCAGGGAAAAGGTTCCAGCTGAGAGGCTCCACGACATCGGCGTCCTCAACAAGAAGGATCTGGACAAGCTGAAAAAAGGAAAAGTAACAGTGCATGAGCTTGGAAAAACAGATAAAATTAAAGCATGTCTCAAAGGTCAGGGCAGCATTGGTGGTCTCTTGACTCCTTCTAAAGAGAAAATAAGTGTCTATCAGGCCATGACAGAGAACAAGATTACTCCAAGCGCAGCTACGATGCTTCTTGAAGCTCAGGCTGCTTCTGGTTTTATTGTAGATCCAGTAAAAAATAAATTCCTGTCTGTGGATGAGGCTGTTAAAGACAAGGTGATTGGACCTGAGCTCCACGACAGGTTGCTGTCAGCAGAGAGAGCAGCCACTGGCTTCAAAGACCCCTACACTGGAGCCAAAATCTCTCTCTTTGAGGCCATGAACAAGGGTTTAATTGAGAAGGAGCAGGCAACCAAATTCCTAGATGTCCAGCTTGCAACAGGGGGCATCATCGACCCCGTCAACAGCCACAGAGTACCACTGCAGACTGCCTACTCCCAAGGTCAATTTGATGCAGACATGAACAAAAAACTTACAGATCCCAGTGACGACTGCAAATTATTCATTGATCCTAGTACTCACGAGCAACTGACCTACAAACAGCTGCTGGACAAATGCACCAAAGATCCCGACACAGGCCTGCTGATACTGCCTGTCACTGAAAAAGCTGCTCAGAGTGAAAAGTACACAGATGGAGAGGCCAGGGATGTGTTGAGTAAGTCTAAACTGGACGTGCCTTTTGGAAAATTCAAGGGAAAAACCATCACCATTTGGGAAGTCATCAATTCAGAATACTTCAATGAGGAGCAGAGGCGAGAGCTGATCCGTCAGTACAAGACAGGCAAGATCACTATAGAGAAGATCATTAAAATTGTCATCACTGTAGTGGAAGACAAGGAGAAAAACAATGAAACTACTTTCAATGGTTTGAGAGCGACAGTCACTGCCAGTGAACTGTTAGAAACCAAGGTCATCAACAAGGACTTGTTTAATAAATTGAGTAACGGTAAAATAACGGCTAAAGAGATCTCTGAGATGGAGCCAGTCAAGAAGGCACTACAGGGAACGCCAAGCATAGCTGGGATACTCGATGAACCAACAAAGGAGAAAATGCCTTTCTATCAAGCCATGAAGAAAGAGTTTCTGTCGCCTGAGACTGCACTGAACTTTCTCGAAGCTCAGGCAGCAACTGGATTTGTAATCGATCCAATCAAAAATGAGAGAGTCCCTGTTGACGAGGCCGTCAAATCAGGTCTGGTCGGCCCAGAAATACACGAACGGCTTCTGTCTGCAGAGAAGGCAGTCAGTGGTTACCACGACCCATATACAGGAAAGAAGGTATCACTGTTTGAGGCACTGAAGTTAGGCCTCATTAAAAAAGACCACGGTGTTCGTTTGCTTGAGGCACAGCTTTCAACTGGAGGAATTGTTGACCCCGTTAAAAGCTACCGCATCCCTCACGAAGTTGCCTGCAAACGTGGATACTTTGATGACAAAATGTCAAAAACCCTGAACAAAAGCACTGATGAAACTAAAGTATTTTATGACCCCAACTCACAAGAGGACGTGACCTATGCTCAGCTCATGAACAAATGTATCATAGATAAAGAAACAGGACTTCCTTTACTCCCACTCACAAAGAAGGCTACGAAGCCAAAGGAGGAAAAACAGATCACAGAGGCAAAGACAAAAGAGGCTTTGGATCAGACAACAATGGAGCTGGACTGTGGGCCCTTCAAAGGAAGAAAGGTGACGATCTGGGAGATCATAAACTCTGAGTACATTACAGAGGAGCAGAGAATCGAACTGATTCGCCAGTACAGAATGGGTTATGTGACAATTGAAAAGTTGATAACAATCGTAGTAACAATGGTTGATGAGTGGGAAGACAAAGCAGGGCGAGCCATCTGCTTTGAAGGTCTCAGAGCTCCAGTGCCCCCTAGCTCGCTGCTTGATTCAAACATCATTGACAAGGCTACATTTGATGAACTCCAAGAAGGTAAGAAGACACCAAAAGAAGTCAGTAAAACAGATCAGGTCAAGAAGTACTTACAGGGCACGGATCGCATTGACGGCATCACTATGGAAGATTCCAATGAGAATCTGAGCATTTATCAGGCTATGAAAAGAAACATTTTACAATACAACACTGGTCTGGCACTGCTGGAGGCACAAGCAGCAACTGGTTTCATAACTGATCCAGTCAAAGATAAAAAATGTTCCGTAGATGATGCTGTCAAGGAAGGCATAGTCGGCCCGGAGCTTCACGAGAAACTTCTCTCAGCTGAAAAAGCAATCACAGGATACAGAGATCCATATACAGGCAACAAAATATCTCTATTCCAAGCCATGAAAAAAGAGCTGGTGCTAAGGGAGCATGCTATTCCTCTCCTGGAGGCACAATTAGCCACAGGGGGCATCATAGATCCAGCTAGCAGCCATCGGGTTCCAACTGATGTAGCCATTCAACGTGGTTATTTTAGCAAACAAATGGCCAAGTCTTTTAAAGAACCTTCAGGTGACATTAAAGGATTCACCAATCCCAACACCAATGAAAGCGCCACCTACGGCCAACTGCTGGAGAAATGTACAAGAGACCCTCACTCTGGTCTGTGCTATCTCCCAATGTTTACAGTTGAAGTCCCTGAACCTGCTGAGAAATCATTCCAGTGCACAGAGGAACAAGCACAAACAGAGCTGGCCAACACTCAGATTGAGATCCCACACAAGAGCTTTGCAGGAAAGAGTTTGACCGTTTGGGAAGTCATGAACTCAAACATGCTTCCAGAAAAGGAGAGACAGCGTCTCATGGAACAGTACAGATTGGGGCAAATCACAAAGGAGAGGATGCTAATTATCATTATCGAAATCATAGAACAAAGAGAGATAATCAGAGCAGATCAGGGCATGTCCTGTGATGTCATCAGAAGAAGAGTCACTATTGAGGAGCTGTACAGTGCCCGAATAATCGACCTGCAGACGTACAACCTCCTGAAACAAGAGAAAATGACAATTCGTGAAGTCATGGAAATGGAAACAGTGAAGCAGTTCCTCTTTGGTACCGGGTCCATTGCTGGAATCATGTCTGACAGTCCACCAAAGATCAGCATTTACCAGGCAATGAAGAGCGGCAAGATTAAACCTGAAGTAGGTTTAACTCTCCTGGAGGCTCAGGCTGCAACAGGTTTCATGATTGACCCAGTCAAAGATGAGCTGCTAACAGTGGATGAAGCTGTGCGGAAAGGACTGGTGGGACCAGAACTGCATGACAAACTTCTCTCTGCTGAAAGAGCAGTTACAGGCTACAAGGATCCATACACCGGAAAGGTCATTTCTCTCTTCCAGGCAATGAAGAAAGACTTAGTTCCTGAGGCCTATGCCCTAAGGCTTTTGGAGGCTCAGAACGCCACTGGTGGATATATGGATCCGGAATATTACTTCCGCTTACCTATAGATGTTGCTATGCAGCGAGGATACATCAACAAAGAGACTCATGAAAGATTATCTGAGCCTACAGGAGATGTTAGAGAGTACACTGATCCGACCACTGATGATAAACAGTTCTACGCTCAGCTTCTGAAAAGATGCCGAGCCGATAAGGCAAGTGGTTTGAAACTGCTGTCGTTGGCAGACAGACGACTTCTCTTTAAAGGTCTCCGGAAGCAAATCACTGTGGAGGAGCTGCTCCGTTCACAAATCATCAATCAGAAGACGTACAATGAGCTCACTGATGGTACCTTATCAGTGGAGGAAGTCAGCAGAGATGTAAAGAAGTACCTGGAGGGATCCAGCTGCATTGCTGGCGTCTATGTTGAGTCTAGCAAAGATCGTTTGTCTATTTATCAGGCAATGAAGAAGAACATGATAAGACCAGGAACCGCTTTTGAACTCCTTGAAGCTCAAGCCGCCACAGGATATGTGATCGATCCCATCAAGAACCTTAAACTTAATGTCACAGAAGCTGTAAAAATGGGGATTGTCGGTACAGAGTTTAAAGATAAACTTGTCTCAGCTGAAAGAGCAGTCACGGGGTACAAGGACCCGTATTCTGGCAAGGTAATCTCACTTTTTCAGGCCATGAAAAAGGGGCTCATCCTGAAAGATCACGGTATTCGTCTGCTGGAGGCTCAGATCGCCACTGGTGGAATCATCGATCCACAAGAGAGCCATCGTTTGCCCGTGGAAACGGCGTATGAGCGCGGTCTATTTGATGAGGAAATGAATGAAATCCTAACTGACCCATCAGATGACACAAAAGGCTTTTTTGATCCCAACACTGAGGAGAATCTCACTTATCTGCAGCTGATGGAGCGCTGCATGACAGACCCAGAGACCGGTCTGGCTCTCCTGCCATTGAAAGAGAAGAAACGTGAGCGGAAAACATCGTCCAAGTCTTCAGTTCGTAAACGTAGGGTTGTCATTGTTGATCCAGAGTCCGGCAAAGAAATGTCCGTGTATGAAGCGTATCAGAAAGGCCTCATTGACCACCAGACCTATCTAGAACTTTCAGAACAAGAGTGTGAGTGGGAAGAAATCACAATCACCTCATCTGATGGAGTTGTGAAGTCCATGATTATCGACAGGCGGTCAGGACGCCAATACGATATTGATGATGCAATCTCAAAGGGTCTGATTGACAGGTCGGCATTGGATCAGTACAGATCAGGAACCCTGTCCATCACAGAGTTTGCCGACATGCTGTCTGGAAACATGAGTGGTAGCAGATCACGCTCCTCCTCTTTTGGCTCCTCCTCCTCCTACTCCATGAGTCCAGCACCTTCCATACAAACACCAGCAACTACATGGAATGATCCAACAGAGGAAACAGGCCCCATCGCTGGGATCTTAGACACAGACACTCTGGAAAAGGTGTCGGTCACTGAGGCCATCCACAGAAACCTTGTGGACAATATCACCGGCCAGAGGTTGCTGGAAGCCCAGGCCTGCACCGGAGGTATCATTGACCCAAATACTGGAGAGAAATTCTCTGTTGTAGATGCCATGAACAAAGGGCTTGTGGATAAAATCATGGTGGACCGCATCAGTCTAGCCCAGAAGGCCTACAATGGATTTGAAGACCCCAGAACAAAATCTAAAATGTCGGCAGGCCAAGCTCTGAAGAAAGGCTGGCTTTACTATGAGGCTGGACAACGGTTCCTGGAGGTCCAGTACCTCACAGGTGGTTTGATTGAACCAGATGCTACAAACAGAGTGGCGATAGACGAGGCCGTGAAGAAAGGCACATTGGATGCACGCACTGCGCAGAAGTTACGAGATGTTAGTGCTTACTCCAAATACCTCACATGTCCTAAAACCAAACTCAAGATCTCTTACAAGGATGCAATGGAAAGGAGCATGACAGAGGAAGGGACCGGTCTGAGGCTTCTGGAAGCATCATCTCAGTCGAGCAAAGGCCTCTACAGTCCCTATAGCATCAGTGGGTCAGGCTCAGCCTCTGGGTCACGTTCTGGTTCTAGAACAGGCTCTAGGTCTGGCTCCAGAAGAGGAAGTTTTGATGCTACAGCATCAAGTTTCACCACAACATTCTCCTCCACTTCATACGGTTCTCCAAGCTACAGTCGCCGATACTGATCCTGACACTTCAGTCTAAGGATGCCCACCAGAGTCTGTGGAAAACACACTCATTTATTCTGCTCTGCATGTGGTAGTTATAATGCTTTGAATTAATTTCATTCAAGTTATATATTTTTTTATATTTAATGTTTTAACCATTTTTATCAGCCTCAGACGTTTTCATAAACACCTGAGAGTATATACTAGTGGATTATCATTTCTATTTTCTCACTATCAGTGTACATGTTTCTTGTTCTTTTACACACGATAAAAAACAATTCAAATCAGGTGTATAATTAATTACATTTTTCCTACACATATAACATATTTGGGATAAAGAAAGTTAGGGTCCACTCTGCAGAGCAGAATAAGGAAGTCTGTGTCCCAAAGATGAATTACACCAAGAATATCTGCTTTAAAAAAAGCCAAGCTTCAAGATCTTTTCTCTCTCCTGGACTGCACTGCCTCATATAACCTCATATATCGCAGTATCTGAGCTTTCAAGCCATTCACTACAGTCTGTCGCAAAAATGTACAACCAATAGTTAACTCCAAAAAAAGCAAGAACCCAGGTGTGAACATGTAGCCCCTCTGATGACCACTCCTCCAGCTCTGGACTGAAAACTCAGCCTCCAGACAAATGTGCAAGTCTCTGCCTTGTTGGACACTAAAACAGGTGCGTAACATACAGAGTTAAGACCATGTCAAAGCATCAACCTTCTATTGTTACAGTACTGCAGCACAGACATTTGACTCATAATTACAGAAAGGCAAAACATGGAAGTTCAACAAACAATAGCACACACTGCTAAAAAGAGTTCGATATAGAGAGCACTGACCATGGTAATTAAATTGGCCCTGAAAAATTCATTTAAAAATATCTAGTAAATATCTAACATTTTCAAGTACTGTTGGTAAAGGTCATGCTTTTAACTTTCCTCTCTAACCCTTTTAATTTTTTAAAATTCTAAAAACTAATCAATCGTTTTTGTTATTAATCCCTTAGGTTCATGGATCATCATCTCATCTTCTCCTTCCCTCAGAAGTCTTCCAGAGACCTATAACACTGGTTTACTACAGACAGTGACAGGAACTGATCTGACGTTCTGTAAAGTTCTGAACCAAGTGGACCATCGTTACACTTGCATTAACCTTAAACTGAAATCAATGCTTTGTAAGTGCCTGCGGAACACTGTCGAACACTTTATCAGGTTGTTGAATACCAATGAGTCGGAGCAGTGTTTTCACTGTCGGTCGGATTTATGCATGACTGAAGGAGCGACGCTACTCATATAACTGTACCTTAACTGTTATTATCAGGTATAAACACTTTAATCTCTAACACTTTTGTTTCAGAGTGTAGTCACACAGGGCTATAGTATCTTCATTTCCTTCTGTCTCAACACCTCATATATGTACTGTATATTTAGGCCGTGTCTTGAAAAGCCATGATTTGTCATTTCTTCGGAGAAAGATCTTAAAGCTTTGCCACCAAACCCAGTATTTTGTATTACTTTCCACCACACGTACACATCCGTTACATACAGTTATTTTCGATTTGAATTGTAAAACTACAGTATATCTGAATGTTTATTTTCCTACTATGCTTTGCATGATTTACTAACACTAAAAAAAAGGTGCAGAGCTGAAATAGTTGTATTCATTTAAAGAGCTTATTTTTGTTTTGTTTTTAAAGGTTTGAAGGATGTATTTTAATGAGGGTTGTCAAGCCTTGTTTAAAAATGGTGTATTTATAATAAAATGGTGACAAGGACAATTTTACTGGAACACCTGACGCTGTGTAAATAAAGATTGAAATGATTTCCGCTCTGTCGGCTCTGGTTTTGTTTTTTGAGAGTTTGGACGATTTAAGCCAATGTTTCCAAAACTCTTTAGCTCTGTTAGCTAGCTGTTTATCACAAACCCCTGTAGGTGGTAATGGGCTGGTGGCCTAACACAGGACAGCACTGACCATTAAAATACACCACTCTGAAATATTCTCCTGCAGTTTTGTTAAACTATCATTCCTGACAAACAAAGAAATGTATAACTTACCTTATCATCTTATCATCTGGAAGTTGATTCGCTGAGACACCTGTGGTTCCTGTTTCCACCTGCAGACCTTTTCACTCTGGAACAGCTCCATCATCTGCAAAAGAAAATAAAAAAATAAATGGATTAAATCTCTACGCTGTGCCTCCAATAATACAGAACATAATCTATTTAAATTAGCTGTAAAGTTCAGTTTGTTTGGCTCCTAAATGCAAACACTGGCCCTAGCACGATCTGTCCAGCAGGGGGAGAAAACAGCTTCACACTGTATTCACACTGAACTCAAGGTTTGCCAGTTTCTGAAAGAATAAGTAAATATGAGAATTGATAACCAGGTGGGGGGTAGTCAGTAAGGGGGGGTGTGTAGTTTGGTAGGTAGTCAGTCAACATATATGCACACCCTAGAGGTTAAGATGTGTAACTGCAGATCTAAATGTTCTGACACAGGAGTCACACCTGTCAGCACAAACCAAACACTGGAGAACTGCTGTGTAAACCGTGTGTCAGAGGAACAAATCTGTCCATGATGGACCAGTGGGACACGCCCCCGCCTACTGCCCCACTGCCCCACAGTTACTCTGAGCAGCTTTGTTGTTTCTAGAGTTCAAAACCGGAGTGAAAAGAAAACAGGAGGACAAAGAACCCAGGGGTTTCCTGGGTGGAGTGAATTCTTACTGACAAACTAAAACAACATGACGACAACTGAGGAGCTTCTACAAACATGAGAGGACTGAGGATTTGTCAAGACTCCAGGTGCAACACTTTAGCACTTATCCTCAGACCGTGTAATGTGATGAAATACTTTGATGAAAGAGAACAAATCATGACTCAGTGCCAATACCCAGAGTTCAAGTCAGTTAAAGACATTTGGTGAAAAAAAAATTCAACTGACGTCATTCTTTTGGCTTCTACACTAAATTTAAAGGGAGAAAAAAAAAACAGCACAAAGAGTAGTTGTTGAGAACGGACCTCCACTGACATCAGTGCATTTAGACTTGGTACTCTATGAGTTCTCTATTTCTGTCTTTATATTTTCCTAGCGTAGGGAACAACAGCAGCTGCTTTGTCTCCAACAGCAGCACTTGACCTCATGCTCAGTTCTGCTAAACTAACTTTCTATCTCCACACCTTCTTCCATCTAATCCAACAACTAGAACAGGACATACTGAGGAGAGGTTGGTATTAAAGATGGGTCGTAAAATTAACGATTAGCTGCAACAAATGTAACACACTCGTATCTGTCGTGTCGACATCCACACCAGAACAGATTTACAGTCACTACCATTAACTTCACACACGCTGCGGCGGCGTGGAACTGTTCGGACATGTGTGAAGCTCAATAAGCAAACAGTTCCGTGCCAACACAGTTGGCCTGCAGGAGAACGGGTGGGGCTCTGGTTCTAGTGAAATAATCCAAGGTGTGTCTGAGATAACATGCTGAGATAAAACCAGGATGACATACCTCTGTAAATAAGAGAACGCTGCACGGATTAAAGAGATAAACCCATTTTCACAGCTCTGTGCTAAATGGGTTTTTATAGAAGGTCATCAGAGTTCCCTCATTGCTTGTTGTCATTCGTCTGTCACCAAATACATTCCAAGGATTCACAGCAGGAAGTGTAATATGTATCTGGCTGTGGCCTAGACTGTGGCCTTTACATGCATGTCTGATACTCAGTCATGTCAAAAGGAACTGAAAAGTCATTGAACGTTGTCGTTGTCGTTAATCTTCTTGCATTTCTTGTCTCAAATTTCAGTGTAAAAAATGTGGAAATTGCCCCCACATTTAACCTTGCAGCTTCAAAATAATCTGACACATGGATTAAGTTGAACAACAATGTGGACAAACAGCTTTGAGCCCAGACAGGAAAAATCTACTGCAAAGACAAACAGAAGTGAACAGTCAAACATTTGTGTCAAAAAAAAATTTAAAAGTCCCAAAGTCAGATAAAAATAGGGGTCAAATATAACACTGATTAATAAAATTAATCAAAGTAAAAGTTGTATGTTTTGACAAGAGAGGAGAGACAAAAACTGAAACCATGAAACAGAAGCCTCCAGTTAGGCCAAGAGCTAGCTATGAAACAGCCAAAAATTGATAGAAAAAATAAATAAAATATAGCAATGTTGGCAACAAAAAAAGAACCAATAAAACAGCAACAACCTGCAGATAACCAAAGCAAACAAACCACGTCCTGTAACTCCTAAAACTAGGCACAAATGACAACATTTATAGCATTTTGCTAAAAGTTAATTTAAACTCGATGTTAGCATAGATAAAGAAAAAAAAAATAACTTGAAAGTTACTTTAGTTATATTATATGTAAAATGTTACTGCCAGAACTGATAACTTGAAAGTTACTTTAGTTATATTGTATGTAAAATGTTACTGCCAGAAAACTGTGAGGTAGTTAATGAAATATAACTAACTTTCACACAGCCAAAAAAAACAAACAAAAAAAAAGTCAGCAAAATTCACAGGGTTTTTTTTCCATGTAATTCTATGCTTCAAACAGATCATCTTTATCACGCGAGGAGAACAGGTCTTGTTTTATCCTGTCAAACCTTTGACGTCTGTGAGGTCAAATCTAATTAGACAGAATAATGTAATCAGAACATCTTTAGAAATCAGATTTTGCAGAGTTGATTGGTTTTCTATTAGTTCCAACTCATTAGTCTGGGCGGGTTCCATACGAGGAATTTACTTTGGGACCAAACTGAGAGAAGAAACCAGGCACATTCCTGAATTCTGGCTCCAACAGCTCCGTTTCAAGGAAGTGCAGGGGGAACTTGAATAAACTCTGGACTAGAAATACACACAATCATAACTACTACATCCAAAGTCAGGATCACCTACTGCACTGGTGGAACCAACTACAGCAAACTGAACACATCGGACTCTGGCGAACATCCGTGCAGAGTGCGGGCGTGGCGGGCGTTCCGAACATGACAGTAAAACTTTCCAAGTCAGAGAGTTTCCCTGCCAAATTCCGTCCCACCACCTGTTGACAGAGTGATTGCTCACTTTCACAACTGTCATGTATGACTGCACAGTCTGATGACATCAGTGAGGACGGTCATCTGAGCCAAACATCTTTGTACCTTCTCCTTAATTCACATCAGTTTGACATGACAGGCGACCGGACTGGTTTGGTTTCTAGAAGATGTTTGGCTCCTCGTCCAGAGACTTCTTCAGGCAGGTCAAGGTGTGAAGTGAAGAAGCCTCACTGACGAGACGTGAAACATCTACTACAGATACCATCTACTACTGGTGACCTTCCACTTCACTGCTTCCGTCAACTGAGTCATGTCTAGTGTAGTATTTAGTCTAGCAGGAAGTTCTACTCCGTTGTGGGTCAATGTAGAGCAAAAATAAATGAAATCATTGTCAGAGATAACCTGCTTTTTCCTCAACGTTATTTACATGGAAAAATTATAGTTTTTCCTCAACGTTATTTACATGGAAAAACGATCGTGTACAGTGTTTTGACTACTGTACAGAAGAGCTTTGAAGGGTTAACTGCTTGGTAAACAATCTGGTTGCATTTGTTATACTAAACAAAAGATTATCACACAGATTATCAAGCTAGTTCTGTTTTTAAACTCAAAACTAAATGTTTTTAGACAAACGGTTCACTGACAGGAAACGTCTGTGAAGGTAGTGTATGGATCTCATCATGTGACTGACATACGGCCTAATTTGAACCTTGAATAAAAAGTGACTCTTAAAGAGTGAAAGTTAAATTCAACTGATTTAAAATATCGCACTTTAAATCAGTTGAACTAACTTTCAACCAGGAGTTCCCTGTCCTCAGGAATTCTTTGGCGCAAACAAAACATTTTCATTGTTTTTAATCACACAGGATTGGCTCCTGCCTGTTTAAACAGCACAGACACAGAGCTAAGAGTGTTCAAGTCTACATGGTCAACAACATCTGACAAAATTCTGGTAAAATAAGGAAGATCAGAAAAACATCCACTCCTACTGAATGACTAAATACACGATAACCCTCTGTCAGAGGAAGGAAACAAGACGGGCTGGAAGGGAAATCAACCGTCAGCTGATTTCAGCAGCTACTTTGCTATGACTGGAGGAGACGCGGTGGCGTTGGAAGTGTACGGCTCCATCACCAACCTCAGGTTTGATTACCGTCCTGCCCCCACACCCGCAGTAAAATGCCCCTCTAGCAAATCCCGTCGCAGAAGTAGAAGTCTGGGGTGTTTTTATTCAAAAATAACTCCACTTTCATTAAGAAGGGCCGTGGTTTGGTGTCCACTGCACAACCGTGTGGTCCGAGTCCATCACAGCACACACGGACATTTAGTGACTGTTATTTACATTTCTAAATACGTAAAGTTTATAATTAATTAAAAAAATTTAGTGACTGTTATTTACATTTCTAAAAGTTTATAATTAATTAAAAAAAATTATAAATAATTATAAATAATTATAATTATAATTATAATTATAAATAACAACAATAACCGTCAGATGTATTATCTGAGGGTGCGGTTCTGCAGAATCACGCTTCACTAGAATCTGACAAATCTTTTGTTTTGAGGATTATTTAAATACTTAATACTCTAAACAATTTTTCCACTGAACTCCTTGGCAATGTGTTCAAGCGTCAGGTTCTAGTGAAGTACGAATCTGTTTGACCGCACCCTCAGGTAATAAAACTGACAGTTATTGTTGTACTAACAATGATCTGCGGTGTGGGCACGTTTTGATCAAACTTCCTACTTTATGGAGTCACTAATGAATATAATCATTCACCACAATGGTTATCCAAAAAAAACAGCACCATAATTAACCAAGGGAATGCCCCGAGGAAAAAAACACTTAAAAATAGAGTTAGACTGAAAAGAATATATTCTCATTAGCATTAGCGTCAGTGAGGCCTGTCCTGTTTCCCTGACACTGTTTGAAATTAGTTTGGAAAGATCAAATTCAAAAGTACAGAAACAGGATAGAAGGTTAATGTGAAGGGATTCAGCAGAGGGCAGTAAAGGCACAGCTTTGATCTACAAGGTGAGGTTTTAACAATTAAAACATGAGTACGACACCTGACACTGGTTGGTCTGCATGTGAGGTTAGATAAACAGAGTTTATCGAGTTGGTTGGCGTTGAGCCATCAGTGGTGCGTGACGAAATGGTTCAAGTCTGAACTCATTAGTCCATAAATGTCAGTGATCTAACGACCTGGTTGTGAAACTTACATTTAATCTACACTCAGTTTTCAGCCCAGGCAAGTTTAAATTTTTTTTTAATTTTAATTCCGAGATATAGACTTTTTTCTACCTTAAAGCATTGTTGGACTAGGCTTTTAAAAATGTTTTTCTAGGACCAGATTTTTCAGTCACAGTACTGTGCTTGACTAATATATATTTATTTATAAACATATATGTGTGTATATAATGTATTATGTACAGTGATGTACAGCTGTGTTGTAACACATTCCTACCTATTGTTTGTGATTTTCAACTGAAAATGCACAGAATAGTTGAAATGGTTGACAATTATGTTGAACAACAACATTTGTTGTTCAGAAACATGAAACTGTACGAACTCTGACACCTTCAAAGGGGCAGTTAATCCCTGGGGTGTTGTATTCAGGCAGGTTAGTTAAATACTTGAGATTGTACACCAGTAAATAAATACAACACCGTGTCTGGCACAGGTCAAGAGTTCCTTTAGGCAACTGGACATGACATTTTCTCAAGAATTCTTAACCTTATACAACACTGTGTAAAATCCACTTCAACTTTTCACATTCAAAACTGCTCTCTGACCTCCCGACCTGCCCACGACTCAAGAAACTGAACAAACAATCCAGTGATGTCACACTGAGATGTGACTAATGTCTTTGCATCTGGTTTTTGCAACAAATAACAGCTGCTGTCTGTGACTAACTCACTCTACGTTTTTTTTTTAATTAATATTTTTAAGCACAAGCAGGAATCTGCCCCCCCGCCCCGTCCGTCCCGTCCCCCACCTCTACCCACACACACTCACCACTCTGGTCCTTAACAAGCATCCTGTTATTCTCTGTTGACAACCTGCCAAACCTGATGAGACTCCTACACATGAACCAGGACAATTAAACAGATACTGGTTTTCATGGAACTGGTTTGATCTAAACAGATCTGTCATCTTTTTTTAGTTTCAGAATGTGGATTTACGACAGTCTTCAGCACAAGACTCTGCCTTTGAAAAATGCAAATTCAATGTCTGACACCCCCAGGCCTAAAACGCTTTCTAAAGTATCAGTTATTTAACATAGTCTCAACAGCAGAGCAGAAATTCTGCCGAACAACCAAAACTGACATCTCTTTAAATAATGTTATCTAAATGTCATCTTATCAGTAAAAACAATAGAGATATTGACTTACTTTTTATCAGTCTGAGTGAATGCTGAATAGTTAGAGGACGATTATTGACGCCAGTGCAGAACAGGTTAACAGTGGGAACAACCCACCTATTCATCCAAATCCATCAGCTCAGAAAAAAGCACAACTAAAATCGATGCCGACGAGGTGTAAAAAGTAAACCTGTCCTGACACTGGAGCACTTAGTGTGGATTTCTTTTTCAACAAATCACTATCTTTTAATGACCACAAAAAAATCGTTAAAACCTCTAAAATACAATTTACACAGTGGTTGTTTTATTGAACAAACCGCTTTGAATCTTTGGTGGTTTACTGTGTTATGTATGTAAGACAATGAACACTCTCCGAGGAAGTGGACAGGAATGTGTGGCTGCCAGAGATCAGGGCGAGAATCTATTCCGCACCGGCAGTGAGCGGAAAGAAGGGGGAGGAAGAGGTCGTTCCTCAGAAGGGGAGGGGCCTAACAGCTGGATCTACTGTATATCTGCAGATCAGCAGACGTGCTGGAGGGACTCACTGCAGCTGAGTGGAACACCTGACTGACATTCTGTGGAACTCGGGTAAGAATTACATTTTTTTTTTATGTTTAAGAAGCTGTCTTTGTTGAGTCTTAAAAGTTTCAAAATAGTTCTTAACATACACGCGCTCTTACTGTGAAAAGGCAGCAGAAATCAGGTCACTCTGAGACTTAAGCTTCTGTGTCCAGTCTGCACGGAGACCCTGCCTGAGCAGCCAACACCCTTCTGATATAAAGCAAACATTCCTCGCCGATTACCTTTGACCAGTGAGAGTACAATAAGTCGGCCGTATGTCACAGTGCAGGAATTTCACAAGACAGACGGTCCCACTTTTTCCACATGTCACCAGTGTCAGTCACAGAAAGTGTTGTGTAAACTCGTGGCATGTCAGCCGTCTGATTGAATCATTCCTGTTTTGGTGTGTGACTAAGCTACAGTGAGTGAGAACAAGCAGTGATTAAACTGACAATGATGTGGGATCATCTCTACACCACAGTAATTAGCGCCACCGTCTTATCTGCTGTTTGCTGAACCAGATCATTTTTCATAAACTCCTCTAAAACTCAGACAGTTTCTTGGCCAAGTTGAAGCCAGACTAGAAGTTATTCAGACCTCAGGTACGCCCTCGTACTTCTTTAGAGAGATCGCTCAGATATTCTGGAGTGTAGTTCTATGAAGTACAGGCTGTTACTGTTTTCATCAGTTAGAAATTGTGCAACAGTTGCTCAATTATATTCACTTTTATAGTTGCCGCTGTTTCAATAGATTTTCAATATCAAAGTGATTCAACACCTCCACTGGAAGATATAAAAAAGCAAAGAAGATAAGATAAGGTGAATGATTTTCAGTAAGGCTGGTCAGTGGATACAAGAGGTTTCAGTAAGCAGCTTGAAAATTAGACATTATAATATATTTTTTCTATTATAAAGTGCTCAGAATGTCATCACAAATATAATGCAACATGCACAACTGAAACTAACACAATTGTCAAATGGGTTCTAAGGATTTAAAACAACTCTCAAGATGCACCCTAAAGACACAATATGTGTGTGTGTGTGTAACATTACTAACCTCACCCTAACACTCACTGCAGGTGAACCAAATATTGTTTGGTCGCGGCCCATTTACAGAATAGGCGTCTTGTGAAAAACAATCCTAAGGCAAATTGGAAACTGAAATTGTTGTGGTCGACCACCATCAAACGAACACAGTGGAAATAGTTAACGGTACAATTTTAGTCACAAACCTGTTTCTCACAGTGGCGTCTTGTAATGAACAAGTTTACGATGTGAACTACTGGGTTATTTTAAACAATTAAGGAGCCAGAAAGATATCGTCTGTGTTTGAACAATCGTTTTTTTTCTTTCTACAAATCATTACTGATTAACCACAAAAATCCACACCTCGACCCAGCAGACTTACACACCTCTGACTTCAGTCTACCTTCTCTGCCCTGGAGCGGCAGCGTTGTCATTAAATGATACTGTGTCACAACACTGAGTAAAAAGCATCAGAAAGAAGTCACAGTTCTTTTGTGTTTTTGCTTAATTCTACTTCAAATACAAGTAGAAAGCTTGTGGGGGGGGACAAAAAGAAAGTGTTTAGCAAAGTGAGAGCTGGTGTGTTATCAGGGTATATGACTTCACCTGAGCCATAAGTTGTGAAATTATATTATTAACTATGGGAAATGTTCTCTGTGGTGCTCACTGCCTCTCCTCCCACAATATTGACTTTGCTGCCAGTCCAACAAGAGATAATGACACGTATCAAAATACTGACTGAATTTTAACACCCACTTAGAAAAAAAAAAAAATCATGACACATTGGTAATTTTATCTTGGAATTGAGTCACTAGTAATTTTACACCCTTATAAAGAAGTGTAAGAGTCTGCGCGTCCTCCTGGAATCTGGGTTTGGACTCTCCCTTGACATGAAGTGCCAACTATTGAGTTTGGTGGAAAAATAATTAAGGAAATGATTATTAAAGACATTATAATATAATACAAATGCCACTAGTTAAAACAATGCAAGACAGAAGAGTTCAAAGCTAAAAAAGACTTAGCAGGAATATCTAAATCCAGCTGGTACTGTGTTATTCTGGTTCATCACATGATTAAAGTTTAAGTTCATTTGTATTTTAAGTAACAACAAACATTTATATCTTAAGCCACAATCTCCTTTAGGACATAGTGAAAATTTAAATATTTGTCTTTGTACTTAAAGTTTATTTGAAAGTACTAAAGACAAACAGAAACTAATAAAGAAAGTTCCCAACTGGCATGTGAGGACGGGGAGCTTTTGCGTGTCTTATCTCTGCTACGCTGAGCCAAATGAAACAGTGACCTGAATGTGAAATTGAATGTTCAACATCTATAAAATAAATCAAACATTGACACAGAGGTGGCAACACCACGCCGCTCGCTGAACAGCTGCTGGCAGAGGTACCGAAGCTACTCGTGACCTAAGATGGATTGATGGACATATTCCAATTCAGAAGTGGAATATATTGGGCCGTATCAACTGCAGCAGCCAATTCTTAACTCAGTAAAAGAATATCTCACTTAACAAGTAGCCATAAATAAATAAACAACTGTGGGAAAATATGAAAAAGAAAATAGAATTTATAACCATTTATACTAGAAACAAACTTTTAGCTACACTCTGCTTTGAGTTATAAAATAAAAGGAAAACGTTGGTGGACAGAGTTATTTGAAAGTTATCTTTACAAAGAGACGGTGTTTTCACTGCTGCAGATACTGCTACAAGGTTTGACTTTAAGCAAAGCTGCAAAAACTGCAACATAATGAGAGTACGTCTGAGAACAGGGGGAAATATTTGGTCTGCAGGCTAACATAATGAGAGTACGTCTGAGAACAGAGGGAAATGTTTGGTTTGATTGAAGCCTCACTTTGAACATCACATTCCAGGCACATTGCTATTGTCTGTAAAAATAATGTTTGATTTCCTACCAAAACCACAGGTGCAACTTCCAGTCAAACCTTAAAACCCCACCTGTATATGTTGTTAAGGTCCTCGATGCTAGAATTACTTCCATATGACGGTGTACTGATACAGTGGCATAGAGTGAAAGACCAGTACACACCCTTGGGTTCCGTGGAATTATAATTAATGGCAGGAGAACAGCATTATTAACTGCATGTTTCTCACAGTGCAATGTTTCACTTAGATCTAGTAGCTAATTAATAGTGTATTCTGTTAAATAGTAGAGATGACAAGTGAGGGAGAGAATACAATCTTGTCCTTGTGCCTAGTGCTTCCTCTCCTGATGATTAAAAAGCAGAGAGCAGGTTTGTG